AAAATAATCGAGAGAATGGGCAAATTAGATTTGTAAAATTAATTCCCGTGATGTTTGATAAGTTTAAAAAGATTTACTCCGAGAACAAACTCAAGAATTTTTGGAAATCCAGAGAAAGAAAAGGAGGTCTTCGAATTAAGACAAAACGACAAGGCGAAGTAACTAATCTTAATTTTGATGATGAGAAACCTAAAACTACTGCTCCCTCTATTACTTTTCTAAATTCTTCAAGAAAAGTCTCCGATTATTCTTCAGAGAGCTCGATTCCTCATGTACTTCCTCTAATTTATACACACGATTCTCCCTTGAGAAATCAAGCTCCTTCAGAATTTCGTCAAATACATCTTCCAATTGATACACATAATTCCCCGTCGAAAAATCAAGCTCCTTCAATAATTCGTCCGGTTCCTCAACATGCCCTTCCTCCAATTGATAAGGTACTTCGCCCGATTCCTCAAAGGCTTTCTCCATTGCTTCCTCCAGTTATTCATCTTATGGAAGCTCCAATCGATTCTAAAATTGACTTATACTTGAGAAAGCAAACTTCTAATTTTACGCTTCTTTGAAAGCCATAATTTTATTAACCTTCGATTCTTCAAGCTTCTATCCAACACTATTTATTATTTATTATACACTACACACCCTTCAAAAAATTAAGCATTTAAAGATGTTTCCTACACTCTCACTTCTCGAAAATCAGGACTTCGGTTCTTTGATACTTTTCTTCACACTTTCCAATCTATTTAATGTTCCTGATTTCGAATACCACTGGATTTTATTAAAAAAAAAAAAAGCTAAAGTTATTTAATTGGATTAATTCCTTCACAAATTACGATATTTAATAAATTGGTTGAGCCATTTATTTTAAATCTTCATTTCTTGCATTAAAAAAAAAAAAAAAAAAAAAAAGAAAAAAATTTATTTTTTTTAACATTATTGTTATCATTTGTAATTTTTAATCATGTATTCTCCTTTAATAATTTTGATTTTTTTAAAAAAAAATATAATAAATAAAAGAAATTTAATTCAATCAAACATAAAAGAATATTTATCTACATATACTTGAAACATATCCAACAAATTTGTACAAATAATGAATCTTTATTTTGAGCCGAAAAAAAAAACCAAATTAGTATTAGAATGACCTTATAAATACCGTATACCTAATAAGCTCCTGTGAAAGTTTATCCATTTTCAGATTATATAATTAAAATTCATGTGATGAATAAATGTAATAACTAGAAAAGGAAGTATATCACGGGGTGCTTATATTCGGAGGTTGTACTCAAAGTGTTGTCACACAAAAACGAATGATATAAATTTCCATAATTGAATGACTGTGACTTAGTGTTGCATTTGCCTGCTCCAAAGATTATTTGGTCATTAGACCATGGCCAAATGCAAACATTGGTGTAAGGTGGTATAGATCGAAGTGCAAAAAATTTTCTTATTACAAAATTTAAGGAACGTATTGTAACATTTTTTTACGAAGCTTTAATGACATTTTCATTATTTATTGAATTTCTTTATTGAGCTATCAGCAATATCGGCGTTCATGGGACTAAAGATATTGTCAATAAAATCTGAAATTTTTATCTTTATTTCTTTATTTAATTTTAGTTCCTAACTTAATTTCAAATGGACCAATAAAAAATTTTGACCAAAAAACATGAGCTCAATCATAATTTATTAATGTTGTCCTTATTTATCCAAAAAAAAAACACAGCACATCTTATTTATCGGACAATCGTAAAATCAAAATGATTGATTATTTAGGGACGAGGTACAAGTAGTAAAGGAAAAAAAAAAAATATTTTCGAACCAAAAGCAATGATAAAATAATTAATCTTGCGAACTTAAATAAAGTTAGTATTAGTAATAGGGTAGAATTGTGTTTGTGGTTGAATATTAGAATGTCTAAGGGTCAAAAAAGATCATAGTTGTAAGCCTAGATTTTGCTTCAATTAAAAACAAAAAAAAATTTAAGCGAAAAATCCAATATGAAACTCGTATTTACCCGCTACTAATTTTTATTTTTCAAGATATATTGTAATTTCTTGTTTGTTCGTCAAAATTAATTTTCAAATGTATTATACCGGATCGCGAAGTAATTTGTTGCCGCCCTCGTGTTTTTACAACAATTCTGTGTAGCATTGTTGTAAACAAAAAGTCTTATTTGTTCTTGCGTATATTATGAAAAAAGATGTGCTTTTTTTATGATAAAAATGAATTATATATATAGCGATTTTTCGCATCCTCCTAAGTATTTTTGCTCTTCCAAAAAAAAAATAATTACTTTAAAAGAACTTGATTGTTCAAGTTTCTGATATAAACTTTCTTCCGCGCATTTTTATTCATTACCAATTTTTAATAACGCAATTATTGAATCGTTCATTTATTTACTTTTTTCATTCGCTAACCTCGTTCATTGTTCGTTCTTTTCACCATTTACTTGGATAATTAATACTCAACATATTTGAGAAATAAAAAAATTCATTTTGTAAAGTTGCCAAAACTGCAAAAAAAATCGCTTTACTAAAGAGGTATGCCACTAACAACCAAACTGAAAATAACAAAATTAAAATTTTTTAATAGTTTTTAATTTTAAATATTGTATGAAATTACTGGAAAACAAAACCCTTACAAGCTTATTGAAAATGCGTTTGTTAAATACCGTTCTTTCCGAAAAACTTTAACCCAAATTCAGCATCGGTAACTTATATCTAATTTGATTTGATTTTCCTTTTTTTTTCCATTAATTAAAAATTTATTTTATTTTAATTTTTTTTTATAATCTAGTTGTAAGTAACTTCAGGCTTTCCAAATTTTCTTGAAATTAAATTTTAAATTTTCTCTATAAACGTTATTTTAGTTGATAAAGGCCCTTTAAAAGACGATGAAAAAGATTTCATTGTTCAATGGGTTAAAGAAAACAGAGAATCGAATGGTACAATTAGTTATGTAACATTAAGTCACGACTTGAAAGGCGAGTCTGGTAAATTGCACTCCGGGAACAAACTCAAGAATTTTGTGAATTCAAAAAGAAGCAAACTTGCTTGAATTAAACAAGATAACGGCGAAGGATCTCATTTTGATGAAGAGAAAAACCGAATTTATGTCTTCTCCCTTACCTTTGGAAAACCCTTTGAAAAATCAAGCTCCTTTGGTAATTCGCCGATTTCTCCAAGGCCTTCTCCATTGTATCCTCCAGTTATTCATCTAGTGAAGATTCTAAAATTGACTTATACTTGAGAAAGCAAACTTCTAATTTTAGGCATCTTTGAAAGCCATGGTTTATTAACATTCGATTCTCTCCAACGTTATTTATTATACACTACATACTCCTTTAAAATATTAAGCATTCAGAGATGTTTCCTACACTCATCACTTCCATTTCTGAAAATCAGGACTTCGGTTCTTCGATACTTTCATTGATTTAGAAAAAAAAAACAAAAGCTAAAATTGTCAAAAATTACAATGCTTAATAGCTGGTCAGCCAATTATTTTAAATCTTTATTTTTTCCATAAAAAAAAATTTGTTCATAACCGTTTATTTTTTAACAATTACATCAATTTGTAATTTTAATTATGTATTTTTTTCTTTGATAATAGTAAACCAACTTCACAGAAGAAGCAGCTAGATTACAAGGGAAATTTGAATGATTTTTGATCATTTGTATTCCGGCATAATAAAATTTAGATTTTGGTGTAGATGTTGACTCAACCGAATATGAATAACATTTTACAATGACGTATATGTATTTATTTAACTTACTAGCTAATGTGAAGTTCAAATTTAAGGGTTCTTTCATAGAGAGAGAAATCACGAAAATCAATGACATATTTTTGAGCTTATCGCGATATCAAGCGACAATACTTACTCGATAAATAAAGCCAAAATGTTTTTTTGTTTTATGCGGAATTCGCCGAATATTAAGAAGCACAAACAAATAATGTAGAACATGTTTCAAATGAAGTAGCACAAGTTGTTGACTTTCGTATGTAGCACAATTTATGAAGTCATAATTGTCATTTTTTTTAAAAAAAAGGGTCCGAGAAATAAATTTTTTCGTACTCAAATTGTGTTTAATTTTGTTCTTGGGCTTTACAAAATTCGAGAACGCCACAAACAAACGATTTAGGTAGGAAGAACATAAGAGGGAAAAAAAATATATGCATGACAAATATGTCAAAAATAATCAATATAGTTAAAAGGTCGTATGCAGTAATGATGTTCAGTACATACTTTAAGGGAAGATAGAATATCTAAGAGAACTAAGTATAAAGACTTTGCCATAATTCATGAAAATGTTTGTTGAAATAAACTAATATGAAAATTTAAATATAAATATTTTTTAAGCCTAGGAAGATTTTTACTTTTTACTTCAAATTACAAACAAAAAAATTTTTTTAAGCGAAAAAATCAAATATGCAACTCGTGTTTGTTGAAATTTTACTGTGAAACAGCTATTAAAATTTCTTTTTGGCGCAAATTTCTCAATTCAATATAATCATATACGATGTGAAGTGTTATTTATTTTCTTATTTTTTTTTTCATACTTACCTCTTTCATTGTTTACTTTAACCCATTTACATGTACTTGGTTAAATCGTACTTGCCTTTTTGAGAAATAAAAAATCTATTGTTGAAAAGATGCCAAAATGCAAAAAACTCGTTTTACCAAAAAAGTATGTCAATATCATCCAATCTGAAATAAGTCAACTCTCTATAAATGCACTAGGGTGTGTCTTTATATAAGGTGCATTTATAGAGAGTTGATTATTTATATATTTATATATTTAATAGGAAGATGATTACATTAAAACATTGATGATATTATATAAAATTACTGAAAAACCAACTCTTGCAAGCTGCATTTGCTAAATTTCGTTCTATCCGAATAACTTCAACCCAAATTCAGCATAAGTATCATATATCGAATCGATCTGATTTCCTTTTTTATTAATACAACATTTCCAAATTTTCTTGCAATTCGATTTTAAATTTTTTCTACAATGGTTTTTTTTAGTGATAAAGATCCTTTAGAAGAGATGAAAAGATTTAATTGTTCAATGGGTTAACGAAAATAGAGAACCGAATGGTACAATTAGTTATGCAACATTAAGCCACGACTTGAAAGATGAGTCTGGTGAATTCACTCCGGGAACAAACTCGAGAATTTTGTGAATTCAAGAGAAAGAAGTAAACTTGCTCGAGTTAAAACAAGACAACAAGGCGAAGGATCTTATTTTGATGAAGAGAAATCTCAAACTACGTCATCTCCCTTACCTTTGGTTAGTTCATTGAGTAATCAAGCTCCTTTGGTAATTCGCCCGATTCGATTCCTTCATTGCTTTCTCCAGTTCATCTTATGGAAGCTTTAATCGATTCCAAAATTTACTTATATTTAAGAAAGCAACTAACTTTGTGTCTTTTTGAAAGCCAATATATTAATCTTTCTTCAAAGTCATGTTACGGATTTAGGATTTTATTCAAAATAGAGAAATGCCAAGCTTAAATTCTAAGAATTTTTGTTTTTCGAATTTTTACATAAAAAAAATTATTTATTATTTTATTATATACTTTATACATGTATCTACTGTATATTTTTGAATCATATATTTTTATCCATACCCAAAATTTTGGTTTATTTTTCGATCATAATAACAAACAAATTATGTAGCAGAGTAGTCAAAAAAATATTGCACCTAATTTTGTTCAAAAAAAAATATGTAGAAGAAAAAAATTTGTTCTTTTATCATGCACCCTATATAATAGATCTTTCCTAGTTTATCTTAGTATAACGATTAACATAAACAGAGAAATTAAAACGAATATCGAAAAACATTTGGATATCGCAATTGTTTTGGAATATCGGATATGCGAATATCGAAAATCATATCGGATATCGAATCAAGGATTATCGTTTTTTTTTTTTTTTTTTTTCGATTGGGAAAGTTCTTTTTTTATTTTTATTTTTTTTTATCGTTAATTATATTTCGATCGGGATGTTTATTTTTTATTTTATATTCAATTATTTTTCGTTAAATTATTTTTTTTATTTTTTTTTTAATTTTTTGGATAGGTAAGTTTTTTTTTACTTAATTTGCAAACAAATATTCGAATATTCTAATTTCAAACGGAAACCTAAATAAAACCTAATCGTATGCAGGATGCAACGATTGAACTAATGATAATGTTGCTTTATAATGTAGTATTGAAGCCATTCAAATGTACCATATCATGTAAACCACTCCTCAATTATTGGTTGTTAAGGTTGTTAAGATTATAACCGAATATATTTTTTTTCATTCAATATATAATTTAAATTTTTAATTTAGACATGGCTCATCGAATCATCAATCATCATATTCATTTGAACGATAAGTTGGGATTATCGCCATGGAAATTTTTTAGACCAGTTTTGATCGAAGATCAGAAATTAAATTCTTATTACAAAATTTAAAAACGGTTATTTCATTATGAAAGAAATCACCAAAATCAATCATACGATAACGATCTTATATTGATAAATAAAAACCAGAAATTTTTTTTATTTCATGCACAAAATTTGCGGTCTTTCTCCTCCGAAGGAGAATCCAAAATTTTTATTAAGTAATTTTTGCACATGACTGAGATCATATCAAAATTCGGATTTCTGATTACAAATAATGTAGTACTAGTTGAACACATGGTTCAATGAAGTTGCACAAGCTGTGGAATAAATTGATTTTCAATTGAAATGTGTATCAAATAATGTAGCTGAAATAAATAACCGGAAACCTCAAAAACCGTGAGGATTATTGACATATTAACGTCATATGAAAGTCAAAAAACAATTTTTAAATATTTAAGCTCCCACGTGTATTTAAATTTTAGTCTACTTTACGTTTTATAGTTTATTTATATTTTTGTTATTTAAAGATTACGGAAATAAGTATAATTATCGGATTAACTACATATTTCTATGCTATTTATTATGATGTATAAGTTTATTCATATCACTGGTTTTATGATATAAAGAAAGATATTTTTTTCTTTGGAGTGTGTTTCATTAGTCGAAGCGTAGCGAAGGGAAGGGAAGGGCTATGCTCAGGGTTCCAGCTCAAAATTGAGTCGATACGTGATTAGCCCCTTTCGTTTCACACTGCGGACTTAATAACGGTTTGTGAAATCTTTTCCTAGTATGTATAGATTACTTTATTTATTAATCCGTCTTTGTAAATTTATATTTATTAAAATATAAAAGGATTAATTATTAGAAGTTTTTCGGGTTTTGGCTATTTATTTTAATTCCGATCAATGAATTGATTTTTTCTACAATAATCTTCAAAAAATGTCTTTCTTGCAATAATCTCCTCTCCAAACACGTGTAGATTGCTAAGAAAATCTGGTTCTGAGAAAATTTTTGACTATAATTTAAGGAATTTCCGAAACTGATGTTCTTAGTAAGGTTAGCTATTAAAATTCATGTTCGGATCATAGCAATGTACATATGTACATAATCAATGTAGCACAGTCTTAGTATAATAATGAAGTAAATTCACAAATTTCGAGAAAATAAAGAAAACGCGTTTGTTTCTTTGTGATGACTGTATCACAAAACATGTGCGAGGAAAAAAAAATGTAATGGCAAGCTTTATTTATTTTAGTATTTGATGTTCGTAATTTAGGGGGGAATGATCTTAAAAAGTTAGATTTGTGCTTTGTAGAACAAAAGAAATTTGGTATAATTCATATATCTGAGAAAGTAAATTTTTGAATGGTAAATTTATGATACTTGAAGTATACGGTATTATATATAAATCTTTGTAAACCTAGATGACATTACTTCAAGTAAAACCAAGAAAAAAAAGAGAAAATCAAATGTGCAAATCGTGTGTTTGTTGACTTCATTTTTTTTTTAAAAGATTAATCTGCGTAATTTTCTTGGCGAAATTTCTTCCTTTATTCAGGTCCAGAACACATCCATTGTGTAATTCTAATGGATTTGCAAATAAATTAATTGAATTATCTAACCTTTTCCTATACCTTTTCCTATATAAAATATTTTGCTTTTCTACAAATAAAAAAATTTTGCATAAAATCACAAGGTTTCCCATGCCTCCTCAAGTATCGTTTTTTTCCTTCCAAAAAAAATATTTACTTTAAAGAAGCTTGCTTTTTCCACCTTTCTTCGTTCACACTTACCTCGTTCATTATTTAATGTTTAATTCGTTTAAATAATTTACTTGTTTAACTCATACTTTCCTTTGACCCATTATTGTAAAGAAGACAAGTATGCAAAGGATACGCTTTAAGGAAAATGTATGTCAACCGATTAATCCGAAATAACCAACATTAAATGGCTGAAGTCATTAATTTTTTTTTGTTTTTTTATAGGAAGATAATATCATTAAAGAGGTGATGGAAAGGTTGGATCATAAACAACGTAACTGTTATAAGATTGTACAAAATGTGCTTGCTAGGAATTCTATCCAAAAATCCTTAAAACAAATCCGTCAACGGTAAGATATCTTACATCAAATTTGATTTAATTTGATTTTTTTCTTTCATTAATATAAAAAATATTTTTTTTTAGTTATAAAAATAATCTGGACCAAAAACGTAAGTAACTTTATTTTTCCAAATTTTCTTGGAATTCGATTTTAAAATTTTCTTCATTTTGTTATTTTCAGTTTGGAAAGAACCTTTAAAAGTTTATGAACAAGATTTCGTCATTCAATGGATTGAAAATAATAAAAAACCGAAAGGTAAAATTAGCTATGCAAATTTAAGTAATGTGATGAAAAATAGGTTCGGTAAATTGTACTCCGAGAACAAACTCAAGAATTTTTGGAATTCCAGAAAAGAAAGAAAACTTTTAAAAGATAAAATAAAACAAGGTGAAATAACTAAACTTCATTTTGATGAAGAGAAATCCAAAACTACGTCATCGCTCTCTGTTCCCATTATTACAAGTTTTAATTCTACAAGAAAAGTCTCAGAACGCTCAATTCCTCCTGTGCTTCCTCCTATTTATACGCATGACTCTCTCTTGAAAAATCAAGCTCCTTCAGTGATTTACCCGGTTTCTCAATATCACCTAATGTCTATTTATATACCTCTTCCAATTCTTTCTACAATTCTTCCTCCCATTGATTCTCCAAATGAATTGCACTTGAGAAATCAAGCTTCATCACTCCAATTCAAACTTTGAAAAGCAAACTTCTGATCCTTCTATAGATTCCTCCTAGTCTCTCCAACAACAAGCACTACATAAAATAATTTAAGCATCCAGAGATGTTTATTACACTCTCATCACTTTCCTTTTTCTGAAAATAAGTCTTCGGTTCTTCGATCCTTCACACCTAAACTATTAGTTGTTCTGGGTTTAGGATTTTATTAAAAAATAGAGAAAAATTAAGCTAAAATTATTTCTTTATGAAAAAAAAAAGATTTATGATCATATGTATATTTTTTATCGTATTTTTTTTTTATTGATTATAATAATAAATAAAATTTTACGTTTCAAAAATTTAAAAATTATTTCACAATCGTGTCGACCTTTTTATATCTTTTAAAATACTAAAAACAAGATATTATTCAAAAATATATTTATCGATGTGGATTTATAGGTTATTCGTTCCTGTATTTACCTTTGAGTAAAAAAAGATCTGGAGACAGAGAAAAGTAAATGAGAACCGAAAATTCAAGGGTTTTGCAAAAATTTAACCAATACTGAACCACTCGGATAGTTATGGCTAAAAATATATACGATTTACTAGATTCAGCAAACACATATGGGATGGTTTCGATGTATAAATAAATGTTAACTAATAACACCATTAACGTTAAGCAAAAGAGGAAATTTTTTTTTTTTTTTTTCTTCACTAAAAAATTCTATAAAATTTGTAAATAAATGAAATTTAATAATAAAATTATATTTTGTAAAGTTGTTAAAAAATTTAATTAATGAAAGATCTTATTTACATTAGCGGTTATAATAAATAAAGCATAGTATATATTACACATTTATTCTGTATGGATTTAAACTTCGAAAAATCCATACCTGAAATTCTAAATTATCAATACGTTCCATGCATTGACTGAGTCCAGTCCTGAACTTGGTCCAAGGACCCAAGTTCGGTTCCAAGAATTTAAGTCCGACCGGGTTCGAATCTAAACTTAGTTTAAAAACTTAATTAAAAATATTAAATTTTCTATATAATTTACAAATGGATGAAAATCATTTTCACCATATCGCACTACTTCATTTTATGTTTGTTCACTTGTTTCTTTTATACAACAAAGCAACTAAATTAAGTAATTTGATAGAATATCAAATGTATTATCAGGTTCAATCAATATTTTCGTGCTTTAGTAAATTATTTTTTCCCAACATATACATGAGTTTCGTCTTGAAATTATGGTATTTTTTAAGATCCTTTTAAAAGTATGGTTTTAACAATAAAAATAGATGTAAATTTACAAGAGAAAAAAGAATTTCTACAAAGGTGTGTTTTCAGATAGTTTTTATGTAAAATTAAAAAATCATTTTTTATAATGAAATAAAAATTTTTATTTTAATTATAATAAAAGGTTTTTCTTTAATTTTCTTATTCTAATGTTATTTTATTCAATTTTTTCATTATTAGAAAAATTTGGTATCTTCCAACTTTGAAGTATTTTTTTTATATTATGATGCTATGTGATACATGATTTTTACTTTTTTTTTTTTGTTGATAACATACTTTTATTATTAATGAAATATCTTCTAAAGTTGAGTAAGAAGTTTGTTCAATATTATTTCTTACATTTAAAAAAAAATCTAAAAAGAAATACTAATTAAGATAATTTTTACTATAGCATCCAAGAAAAAAAAAAAATATTGGAGTTTCAAAAATCCAAGTAAAAAAAAGTCCTGTAATATTAATTCAATGTATTATAATAAGATATAAAAAATATAAAAGCAAATAAAAAAAAATGTATATTAAACAAAATTTTTTTAATAGATATACCTTTTAAGAGTTTTTATTAAACCTTTTAAACGTTTAATTTAAATGGTAAATTTTATCATATCTTTCTTTTTAACAAGTAACAAGCTTTTAACTTGTTAATACAAAGTTAAAACTTATTCAAAAATATTATTTATTTAATAATACTTTATTTTTTTTTTAAAAAAAAAAATATTTATAAGTTTATAAGTAAAATTACCTGTTTTTCAAGTAAGATTAATTAAAAGTTATAGAAGTATTCAAGTTGTTAAGTTAATAATTAAAAGTTATGAACTCAACAAATAATATATAAATAAAAATCAAAACAATTATAATAAAATTACATAGCTTGCTTATCAATAAAGTAAAAAAATTGTAAAATTTCATATAAAAATCCCTTGGTAAAATGATCAGTAATATATATAACATTATTTGCTATTTAAAATTGAAAAAATATACTGTGTAAAATATATAAGTTATGCTTTAATTAATGCTGACAGAACATTAAATATAGAAATGATAAAAAAATAATCATTAGTAATACTATTTAGATATTAATATTTTACACAAATCAAATCAGATCAGATTTAGATAATATCTGATTTAATCTGAATCTGAAATATTTAAATCTAATTTAATTTAAATTTGACAAATCTGAATTTAATCTGAATTTAACAAATCTAAATTTGAATTCGTATCTAAATCTGTATTTGAATCTAAATCTGAATTATATAGATTAAAATAATTTTAGATTTTTTAATAATATAAATTATTTATAATATGCAAGTCAATACTTTATTAGCAATAATGCTACTTATAATATTTAGAACATCATTATGTTTAAAAAATGATAATATGAGTGGTATAATATTAAAATTGAGATACGAGACATAGTAAATCATATGATCTGTATCTCAATTTTAATAAATCACCATCCATATTATTATTTTTAAATAATAATATATTTTTGATGTTCAGAACAGTAAACTATTATTAAAAAATAATATTATTATTTTTTAACAATAAATGTTATCAGAATAGATTTTATTATTAAAAAAATTAAGTTTTTATTATTTTCTAATAATAAATTCTGCCTCTGATTTTTAAAACAGACTTATTATTAAAAAATAGTTTATTTTTTATTTTTTAATAATAAATATCACTTCTGATTTCAAGATAAATTTTATTATTAAGATATAATAAACTTTAATTATAAATGTTATTTTCAACTTTTGAAACATATTTTTAATTCAAATTTAACAAATCAGATCTGAATTCAAATTAAATCTAACAAATTAGATATAAATTCAAATTTAAATCTGATAGATTGAATTCAAATCCAAATTCAAATCCATCAGACTGAATTAAAATTGAATTTAAATCTAATCTGAATCTGATAAATCAAATCAAATCTAAATTCAGATTTGGATCTGATTCAAATCTGATAAATTCAATTCAATTTGATCTATCAGATTTGAATTAGATTCAGATCAAATTGTATTTTTTGTAAAATATTATCAGATATTATAAAAATAAGTTAATAAAATTTAAACTATAATAAATAGTATATTCTTTATTAACTAAATTCAAAATATTTATAATTTTACATTTTTAAAATAAGAAATTATCTCATATTTTTTTTTTAAATTATCTTTCTCAAATTTGCTTCATTAATACTATTTTTATCTAACTTTTTAAACTTAATAATGCTCTTATAATATCTGAATATAATATTAAAATAGCTTATTTTATTAAAGTTAATTATTTAAATCTTTAAAAAAGATATGATTTTATTAAATAAATAAATGTTTTATTGTATTTAAAAAATATATATTAATACAGTCAAACCTTTATATAATGATATGTCAGGACATATAGAATTTTTTTTTAAAAATATTGTTATATCAAATTATACCAATATTTATATGACCTCAAGTATAATAGGTAAATAAAATTTTATCAGTATATAAAGTTTTTAATAGTATATTGGTATATAAAATATTAGTATATAGAGATTCGACTGTATTTATAAAATTTAATTAAATAGAACTTATGTAATATAAATTAATATAAAATAAAAATCTTAATTTTGATTAAATATCTTAAAACTTAAAAATGTAAAAAAAAAATTTTTGACTGTAATTGAATTATATAATTATTATAAGAAAATTAAATCATAATAACTTAGAATCATTTATAATTAAAAGTCAAAAATATTTTTTCATTTTATAATTATTGTAAATTAAATAATAAAATTTAATTATTTTTTGATTATTGTTTGAGTTATTATTATATAATCTATAATAATTCTTATTTATTTTAGTATAATAATAATTTAAGAAATTATTTATCATTTTTTAAAAAGTTTTTTTTTTTATTAATTTTAAAATATTATGAATATCATAAATAAATAATTTAATATATTTTTAATATAAAAAATATATTTTATTTTTCTTATTTATTTTAGTGTAATATGATATTGATATATATAATTTAAGGTTAAAAGAAATTTTTATAATTTATATATACATTATATAATTTATTTTTATTTAACATAGATTTATAATTAAATATATTTAATTAATCTGTTATTTTTTTATATTATAAATTTTTTTAATTTTTTTTTATATAAAAATATTTTGCTTAATATATATATATAAAAAAAAATACATAAAAATACTGGATTTCTTATATCATATTAAATAATTTTTCTATTAAAGAAAAGAAATACTTTAAAAAAAATTTTTTTTGAATTACAGATTTATCTTATTTTATTTATATTTATTTTATTTATTATTTAATTTATTTAATTTACTTATTATTTCATACTTTTCTTTTTTAAAAATAAAAAAAATCTATATTTTAATAAAAATAAATATATAAATAATATAATTAAAAAAAAAAGTATATTAACTAGTTAAATCTAAAATAAAATAAAATAAATGATTATATTTAAAAAATATTTTTTATTATTATTATAGAAGTAATGAAAGAATTAGATCAAAAATAATGTAACTATTATAAGATACTCAAAAATACTTCCATTTAAAAATTTTATATTAAATATATTAAATGATAAGTATTATATATTAAATCTATTTTATTTTTTTTTTTTAATAAAAAATTTTTTTTTATTAATTTAATTATAAAAAATAATTTAAACAAAAAAATAAAATAACTTTACTTTTTCAAATTTATTTAAAAATTTAAATTTTTAAAACTTTATAAATAAAATTTTAATATTGTTTCTTATTGATTCTTTAAATAAATTATATTTGAGGAATCAAATTTTAATCTTAAAATAATATTTCATTAATTCAAACTTTAAAAGCAAACTTTTGATCTATTTAATTTCTTTAATTTATTTCTAATATTATCATACATTATATTTTCTTTTAAGAAATTAAGCATTTATAAGTATTTATATTCTACTCTTATTTCCTTTATATCTAATTTATTTTAGAATTATTATATGTTATTTAAAAAATCAAGTTTAAATCTTTTTAACTAATTAGATTTTTATTTTATAATATATATTATTTAAAAGAAAATATTTAAATAAATATTTTTGAAATTATACAAAATTTTATATAACACCTTTAAAAAAATTTATATTAATTAAAAAGAATAAAATTTAAAATTTCTAAATAAAAATAATATAAATTTTTGTTTATCTTGATTTTAATTTTTTTAATTTTTTGATTTTTTATATTATAATAAATATAAAAATTCTTAAATAAATTAATGAAAAAAAGTAAAGATTTATCTGATTAGTTATCTTAATCTTCTAATCTCATTCTAATTGAATATTTATAAGAAAAGAGATTAAACAACATTTACAATATTTAAAATAATACAGAATTGATGAATGAGAAATATATTCTAATTCTATATAAAATTAATTAAAAATATATCAAAAAACTTGAGCATGTATTTCTAATAATAAATATCTTATTAAATATTAAATAAATAGTAAAATAATATTTTTAAATTTTTAAAAATTAATTAAATTTAATTTTTATTATAATTACATTTTTTATTGAAAATATTTATTAACTAAAATTAATATACTATATGAATATAAAATTTTATATGCTTTTTTATTAAAATATAAGCTATATCTGATCTTAATATAAATTTTTTTTAAGTAATTATATAAAATTTTACATAATTTTAAAAAACTATGTTTGAATACTTTCTTTCAGATAATGAATATAATATATAAGCTTTAATTATTTAAATTTTATGGTTAATATTTTTAGTATTTATTAGTTTAGAGTTGAAGCAAAAGTCTATTTAAGAGTTATATTATTAAAAGTAGGTTATAAAACTAGAAAATAGATTTTGAGTAATTAATGATAAAAAATAGTTACACTATAATAAACATACTAAAATTGTACTAAAAATATATTAAATATATTTGAGTTAAATCAATTAATAAAATAATAATATTATAATATGTTAAAGGCTATTGCAGATATTCTTAAGCTATCATAATGATTAAAAAAGAAATAAAAATTAATAAGACAATATTATAAATTATATTTTATTATAATAATTATTTTTATAAAAATTAAATTATTTTAAAAATAATGTAATTATAAAATATCTAAATTTTGCTCTTGTAAAATATATTTTACCAATTTTAAGGTTTTGCTATTAAAAATCACACTTTAAAACATTATTATACTAATTTTATAACATTTGAAATTTTATTATTATTATACTAATTTTTTAATACTTGAGATTTTGTTATAAAAACTACATTCTAAAGCATTATTACACTAATTTTTTAATATAAATATAATGTTCTTTATTAAAAACTATTTAAATTTCTAAATACAATTAATGCTTTATATTTGAAATATGTATAAATACCCTTAGATCCCATCAAAATAAAAAGTTTATATATATAGGAGGTTTGCTAGACAAATGGGGCTCTAAGCATTTTTTATTAAAATTTTAATTTTTATTGCATTTTAATTTTTGATAATGTTAGATTAAAATGCAATAAAAATTAAAATTTTAATAAAAAATACTCAGAGCTCCATTTTCCTAGCAAACCTCCTATATGTATTTTAAATTAATCTTAAAAATTTGAAACTTTATAAACTTTATTAAATTTAGATCTAATATAGTATATAAAAGGTTTGCTAAAAAAAATGAGATTCTGAGATTTTTTTTTAATACATTTTAATCTAATATGAATCATATGCTATTAAAATTAGGTTATAAGATATAGTAAATCATATAATCTGAACATGAGTTTTAATAGCATACCTTCCATATTATAATTAAAAACATATGTCGATCTTTTCTAAAATCTAATTTTAGATTTTATGATCGATGTTACTAAACACTTTGCCGGCCTAATTGCTCGCTTTATTAATAAGCTAATAGCCTCATTTAATATACTATAATATGAATCAAAAATCTCATTTTTTGTTGAAAGGTTCCTGTAATCCATTTTTAATAGCACAGCTCCCATCTATTTTTAAATGTTTGTATCCTAATGTTCGCCATGATTGGTCCCTTTCGTTACACTTGTGCTTCAGATGCTAATCTCAAAGTTGATCAATTGTCTTTTAACAGTCGCTGATAATTGAGGAGTTAATACACGTTTTTTTTATTGTGAATTTTCAAGAGAAATCTCAAATAACCCGTCAAATAAATATCAAAGCAATATTCTATTGCTCCTTTGAACAAGAAAAACTGAAGCTTTTCCTCAAATTTCTTAGCTGCTCATTGATAATTCTCAGCAATAATTGGGGTGTTAAATGAATCTCTAGATTTAAAGCTGCCAAGTTACAGGGAAATTTGAATGACGTTTGATCATTAAATTCCAGCTGTAGATGTTTGGCTCATCGGATCATAATCTTTGTCATCAAACAGGTTGTATTAATTTATTTTATTTATTGGTTTTCAATTTCCGGAAAATTACATAAGTTAAGATTTATTGTCATTGTGTTTATTGCAATTTTAACTTCTGAGACATAATTCAGTGACAACGATAAATTATTATTGATTTACTACTAGTTGATGTAATGTAGATCAAAGATCAGAAATAAAAAAATAAAATGTTTATTACAAAATTTAAGGAGCTTAATTTAAACATTTCTTAATAGAGAAATCACGATATCAATGACACGATATAATTTACTTGGCACATGGTTTGAATTTCTTTTATTGAGACAATACTTTATTGTGTATTTTTTTTTTTCCTGAATATTAAGTGGAATCTTATTAAACTCATTAATGGGACTAAATAGGGAACCATATTTAATAATGTTCTTGGTGTAATGATGTATGTAATTTATAAATAAACTTTAAAACATGTTTCAAAAAATGTGGCACAAGTCATAGAAGTAAAAAATAAATTTTTTCTTGTTCTCGAATTTTGTGAAACTCAAACAATAATGTAAATCGGACCCTAACACAAAAAAATATTTGTCATAAACAATTTCAAACATGGTCGAATTAATTTTTCCTTATTTATCTTAGTTCGTAATTTAAGGAGCATGATTTAAAAAATAATCAACCCGTGTGTACCTGCATAATTTTGTTTTGGCGCATTTATCTCGATCGATTCAATAATTCATGTACTGTAGTCAATAATATAAATACCATATTCGAAGGTGCACAAAAAATTGCCCTTTGTGCCATTAAATTCGTCACCAAGATCTAGTGTAAATAAACATGCATTGTTGTGAACATCATGGCTATTTTTTATGTTCTGCAAAATAAGCTTAATTGAATTTTCTAATCATTTGCAAAAATATCTTGCTTTACTACTTAAAAAAAAAAAAATAATGCGGATAAAATCACAGGATTATTCCCGTATCTCACAAATATATTTTTTTTCCATTCCAAAATAATAAATACTTAAAAAAAAAAGCAAAAAAAAAGCAGACATTCTTCCTAGATTTTTATTCAATAACCCAATTTTTATTAATTCATTTAGTGAAATTGTTCATTTATTATTTATTTACTTATTTCCTCGTTCATTGCTTTCGTTCGTCTACCGCTCTTTACTACATACTTGATTCGTCGCCTTTTTGAGAAATAAATAATTTCATTGTTGTAAAGATGACCAGAATGCAAAGAATACCCTTTAGTGGAAAAGTATGTCAATAATTAGTTATTCGAAATAAAAAATCTTAGTCTTCTTTTTAATAAATATATATATATATTTTTTTTATAGGAAGATAATATCATTAAAGAGGTGATGGAAGGGTTGGATGATAAACAACGTAACTGTTATAAGATTGTACAAAATGTGCTTGCTAGGAATTCTATCCAAAGATCCTTAAAACAAATCCGTCAACGGTAAGATAACTTACATCGAATTTGTTTAATTTAAATTTTTTTTTTCATTAATATTAAAAAAAAATATTTTTTTTTTTAGTTATAAAAATAATCTGGACAAAAAACGTAAATAATTTTATTTTTCCAAATTTTCTTGGAATTCGATTTTAAAATTTTCTTCATTTTGTTATTTTCAGTTTGGAAAGAACCTTTAAAAGTTTATGAACAAGATTTCGTCATTCAATGGATTGAAAATAATCAACCGAATGGTAAAATTAGCTATGCAAATTTAAGTAATGTGATGAAAAATAGTTTCGGTAAATTGTTCTCCGAGAACAAACTCAAGAATTTTTGGAATTCTAGAAAAAGAACAGAAAATTTACGAGCTAAAAGAAAATTGATTAATCAAGCTCCTTCGATAATTCGCCCGATTCCTCGATACCCAACTAACTTCTACTTTAGAAGTCAAACTCCTAACTTTACGGATTCCTCTTTGAGAAACCAAGCTGTTGTTTCTTCTTCAGAGATTCCTTCAATTTCCAACTAACTTATTTGATTTCCGAATTTAGGATTTTATTACAAAATAGAAAAAACTAAGCCTAAAATTATTTAAATATTATTTAATCCTGTCAAAAATTACCATATATAATGGTATATTTTTTTTTATGATTTTGCGATCGATCTATTATAGAATTATTATATTGTATATTTAAATCGTATTTTTATTCATTATAATAAAATTAAAATTTTATCTCTAACCATCATTGCATCTCCGTCACACAAACGCAAATAATAATCCTAAAATTTGTAGATAATCATCCAATTTTTTTTTCTTTCTCGGTATATTATTTATAAAACCGAATTTTTTTTTCATAATAATGTCATCCACGTCAAAGGATGATTCCTCTCACCAAAAATCAACTTCAGAACAAACACAATTATATCGTTCAAAGTTAGAACAAGTTGTACTAAATACTTCAGAAAGTTTGGAAACTTGGAAAAGTTTTGAACGAGATTATAAATCTTTAAAAGACACTTTAGAAGAATTAAATCATGAAACGGAGCATAAAGTTATGGTAAAAATAATTTTAAAAATATTTAAATTTTAAAACTTTAACATAAAATGTATATAATTTTTCTTGACATCATTTTATTTGAAATTTATCACTTAGGTCCCGATTGGTAATTTAGCATTCATGCCAGGGAAATTAATTCACACTAATGAAATTTTGGCAATGCTTGGTGACAATTGGTTTGTAGAAAGGTCGACAAGCCAGGCCGTTGGAATTGTTGACAGAAGGATGGAGAGTGAGTGATTAATAGCAACCAAAAGATGAACTTCTTTTATCAAGGATTTTTCCTTTTTTTAGATGTCAATTACCGACATTATAATATACAATAATTAGTGGTGAGAAAAACTATAGATGATTTGGAAATACAACTTAAAAATCAACGAACAAAGATTGGGTTGACCTCCAACATATTGGGACTTGCAAGTTCACAAGAAGCAAAGGTATTCATAAAAACTATATTATGCTTTAAAGAAATGAAAATATTTAATAATTTTTTGGTCTCAAGTATAGATTAACGAAGAAGGATTGCCTTTTGTTGATATTGTTGAAGAATATCAATCTGATGAAGAAAAGAAAGAGACATTGGCTCTAAATCAAGTTAAAAGGGAAACAGCGGACGTTAAAGGTAAATTTAATATATATCATTCCATTTGCTTGTTTAAAATTATTTACCGATAACTTTTGATTTACCTTTAAAGAGAGTAAAGATAGATTTGGATATTTAGACGAGCTAATTAAAGAGGAGGAGGAGGAACTAAATCGAGAAAAATCGTTGGAATCAGATGAGGATTATAATGAAGAAGCAGAAGATGAGGATGAATATTGGGAGGAAGATGAAGTAGGAGAATATGAAGAAGAATATGAAGAAGAGGAGGAAGAGGAGGAGGAGGAGGAGGAGGAGGAAATTGAAGAGGAATCGAAATATAAACATCGTAAAAAGGTTTCATTTTCTGATCAAGCCACGGAATCTGCAAAAGTTCATACAATCCGATCTCCAGCTGATATTTACGCGCATATGTTAACGAAGGCAAATCAAAGTGAGAAACATGAAGATGATGCATATGTGGAAAAGATTACTCCGGAAGATATAGATTTTGTTTCGTCTTCAAATAAGCCTGAACAAAAAAGATCTACGTCATTATTCAAGTCAGGAAGGCGATCCAATTTATTGCATATTCCAAGAGAATCTCGTAAGCCTGCATTTTCCTCTGTTCCGGTTGGAGGTGTAAATGAGAATAATGCAGCAAAAAGTCCAGTTAAAGCAGCTGTTGTGGAAAAAGATGTTCGTCCTGAAGATATTGATGTGGAAACTTTGGAAAATGAGCTTTGGATGAAAGAGGTTATTTTACGATTTGATACGTGTATTTATTTATGCCAAATACATGCTAATATCAGGATTTGGTATTCAGATCTCTTCTGCATATCATCAAAAACGAATGCAGTTCATAGCACAAGAAGGCGGATTCACTTCCGCGTTTGAATCAAAACAGAATGAAGACGTATGTAGGGTATAATCAACTATCTATGTTATTTTGAAATGATTTAACTTATGACTATCTTGCTTAGAATTTGGAAGAAGTTGAGGATTTAGTTGGTGATAGTCAATCGACTTCACAACCAATAATTGATGAGAGGCCTAAAAGAGTTTCTAGATTTAAAGCTGCTAGATTACAGGGGAAATTGGAATGAATTTTAATTCCAGCAGGCGATGTAAAATTATTTTGTGTAGACGTTGGCTCATCGAATATCATCATCATAAAACATGTGGTAATATTTTATTTAAAATTGCGGTGTTAAAAGGGCTAATTTTAAAATTTTGATATCTATAATATAGGGATTGCCATGGCGCTTGTGTGACATATAATTGTTTCGTGGTGACGAGGCAATAATGATCTCCACGTGAGGAATCCTTACAATGGATTGATGATTTATTATTGATCATACACAATTATTTATAATTGAAATTTTGTGTTCGAAAAACCAAATATATTTTTATTTTATTTTTTTTTTTTAAAAAAAAAACATGTATATAATATTTAATTTACTATCGTAAGATAGATCGGACCAGAAATATACAAAATTTAAGGAGCTTAAATGTTTATAGAGAAATTCTAAACTTAAATATTTACTTCCCCACTTTTGTAATGTTTTTTTTTTTTTGCTCTTATCAGTGATATCAGCGACAATACTTTACTTTGTACTTTGTATAAATTACATAAATTACATTATATACGAAAGGGAACAAATATAAAATAAGATCGTTGATAGCAGATAATCGACCTAACAATTATTTGTGTAATAAACGTTTTGTTTTATAGTTTGATAGTTTGATAGTATATATAAAAGCCCACTCACTGTTTTCCAAAAATTATGCCACATTTTTCACTATTTTTTATTTCCTACTCAAAAGATTACAACCGAAAAAATTTTAATTCGAAATGAAAATTGTTCCGGAAGTATGTTAATTATTGATTTTAATATTAAAAAAAAAAATCACGTTGTTTTTTTTAATCATGTATTTAACTTTTAGGCCCGTAATACTATTATGCGATTTATGATATCAAAAGAGGGTCGTAATCATAAAAAACCGTACTCAGAATTAAGTAAAAAGACTGGATATAGCTCCAAACAGATTTATCATATGTGATTATCAAAGTATTATTTAATTCAATAATAATTTCTTTATGTTGTAGACAAGTAATAATTTATTTTTATCGTAAATTTATTAGCTGGAATGATCAACTCAACCCTACTCGTGAGTGAATTAAAATCCTTTTAACCTTTCTTTTAAACTTGAACTAAATATATTGGTTTCTCCTTAATTAGTTGATCGCAATCCTTTGTCTAGCGAAGAGAAAGAGTATATAAATCAATGGGTTGAAGTTAACAAAACAGAAAATAACAAAATTCATTGGATGAATTGTCAAAAAGACATGAAAAGAGATTTTCAAAAGTTACGTTCTACGAATATAATCAAAAACGCATGGTATGCGAAACAAAAACGTAAACCTGACGAAGAAGGTGAAAACGGAACGAGCCCTTCGACTCAAGATACAATTTCCACTTTTAATAACGACATTAGAACTATTACTCAAACCGGTCCTACAAATGTTTTAACGTCTACTGCCACTCATCATTACATACCGCCAACGTTGCCTACAATCGAGCCAAGTTTTCAACCTGACCCTCCAAAATTTATTATGAAACCCATCTTTTAATAATTACAAATTACTCAAACATTTTATTTAAATTTATTTATATTTATCTATTTATATACAACTTTAATTTCATCGTAATATAATAAATAGTCTGTCAGCATTCATAATTTTTTTACCGCTTCTTTGCTTTTCTTCTTTTCTTTCTTGTATCTTTTTATATTTTTTAAAAAAGTTTGGTTTTTCACTCGTTTTTATGATATTTTTCTTATAAATAAAAAAAAAAGAATAAAAAAATTCTAAAGTACGAACTTATAATATATATATGTTCAATAATAATCAAAAAAAAGGAAAAGAAAAAAAAAGAAAAAAAAATTTTCTTTTGGGATAATTTTGTGGCGAAATTTTTCAACAATGAAAAGAGGGAATACTTTAAAGTGAAATCTTCTAGAAAGAAAGATAATAATTAAACACAACGGGACTAAAATGGTCATTGTTGAAAGGTGAACCATTTTAGGTAATAGGAAATAGAACAAACAAACAAACACCAAATCTTTCAAATTATGTCAAGTTATGTCAAAGGGATGTTGCACAAGTCAATGATTATTTCCTAATTTATCTTAGCGTAATTTAAGGGTCGCCCTTTGAATGAATGATCTGTTGGTACTACTGATATAACCTTTAAAGCATGTTACAATTGGAAAGGGACAAAGCATGCATAATCGTTTGAAAGAATTTGGTATAATTCATTTATTACAAACATCTGAAAAGGAATTGTGCGTATTTATGATACTTTATAACAATAAGAAAATTTATTATAAATAGTTGCTAATATTCCAAAACGAAACTAAAAAAAAATTTAAGCGAGAAATTAACAACAAACTTAATCTTTTTCTTTTAACACCAATTACGACGTAACCATCACCCGGCTACAGTAAAGCATCCCATTTGGGAATAGCATCCTATTGAAAAAGTCAGTAATAAAATAGATCCAGTGTAATTGTCATGGTGGTGAAGTGTGGATATAATTATGCAACGAGAATTTTTAAATTCCGAGACGGCTGAGTTAGCGTGAATCATATTTGTCACATGCTCAGTATTCACATTATCCGACAATTTTCGATTTGACAAAATTATTGACCGGATATTCGGCCATTTAATCGATTATCACCAACTAATGACGAAATTCGGATATTAGATACATCATCAAAGATATTAAACGTTTTTCCTTCAAAAAAATTATACCAAATTTTTTTGTTCATCAATCTGCAAAATCATTATAGTCATTATAGGATTAACCGAAAGCTAAAGAATCAAATTTATAGAAAATTTTCACCACAAAAAGTTCCAGAACAATTCGAAACTTTACAAACACGTACTGTACGTATTCTCATTGATTATAAATTTAAAGAAAGATCGATGAATCGAATGACCACTCTTTAGATTTAGGGTTAGGTTAGCATAATGCAGGATTCGTCGTCATGAAAAAATGTAGCCAGATTTATTCGCCGGTTAGGTTAGTATTAGAGTTAATATTAGCATTAGGATTAGGATTAAGGGTAAGGGTTTAGGATTATTTATTTTGTCGCACGGCATCACATCCCGACTGTTCTTAAATTTTATAATTATTCTGGGGACTTGGAATATTTTTTATCACCTATTATTTGTCATACCCTAATATGTATGGCTCACCATTTTTTCGTTATAATGCAGGGTGTAATCACGAGATCGCGAAATTTGTCGACAGTATTCAGCTTTAGCCATAATTATATTAATTTTGTGTAATCATGTACAGTAGATCGATTTAATTACAATATTTTTTCTTTATATATCATCAACCAATAAGTCACATTAATGTGTGTGCAACACCAAGGTATTCATGCAACCTTGAAATCATTGTATCAAACATGGGGTCAGCAAAAAAAGGAGAAATCTATATACAGCAATTTATTTGATCAATGCGCAAAGATGATCTTCGCTCTCGTGCCATCAAATAATTTCTTTCATAGGCTTACCTTAAATCAATAAATAAAATTAAAATAAACAAACAATTTGAGATCTAATGTAAATAATCAATGTTTTTCTACATGCATTGTGTATTGTAATTTATTAATCCGTCTCATACGAAAAATTAGTCATATGTTCACATTTTGGAAAAAATTCTGCCGATATTGACCTTATTTTAGGTTGTCTCCAATTATGCTAGGGTTTATAATACGAGCATGACCCCAATGGCTTTGATACTTTAATCTAAATTGGTACTACAACTAATATAAACAATATCAAACAAATAATCTTCCGATCAAAAATTTTATATAAAGAACACAAATAATCCTTTCTCAAGAAAGTAATTACTAAAGTTCAAAGTATTTTCTTCTGTTCATCTTCAATTTTTATAAATTAAATATTGAATTACCTTACTTCGTCCACTTATTATCTATTTATTTCGTTCATACTTCGTCGTTTGCTATCTAATTCGTTACTTAATTCGTTAACTATCTCGTTATTTCGTTCATTACTTATTTCGTTTACTACCTCGCACTTCGTAAATTACCTCGTTCGTATACTGTTTCATTCAGTATTTACTTTTTTCACTAATACTCGCCTTTTTGACCAATAACATGGGAAAGTTTCCACTCTTTACTCAAGCCGTACGTAAATAATTAGTCACTAAAATTTTTAAAAAAAAAAAAAAAAATTTAATTTTATTCTTATTTTTTTTTTTTGTAGGAAAATAAGATCATTTTAGAATGTATGCAACGTAATCCAAATAATAAAAGTTATATGATAATTAAAAAAGAGCTTGAGCAAGTTTCTAGTAATAAAGATTCAAAACAAATCCGTCATCAGTAAGATATCGTATTATCAAATTCTTTTTACTTTTTTTGAAAAAAAAAATTTAATTTTTTTCTTTATTTTTTTTAGTTGGACAAATTATCTAAATCCAGAACGTAAGAAATTTTATTTAATGATCTTTTATAATTCAGATAATAGTGTTTTTCGTTGGCATTTGGATTACTAAAAAATTCTCATGTTCTTTTTATAAACATTTTAATTGTAAATCTGATATGCTTGCTTTCCCCATTTTCATCCCTTTACATGTTATTTTGTATTGATCCTAATGATATTTTTTTGAATTTAATTTAATTAGTTTGTAAAGTTCCCTTAGACGATGAAAAAAAAGCGTTTCTTGTTCGATGGATCGAACAAAATAATATGCAAAATGGAAATTTTCCCATTATGAAATTAGTTGATGCGATGTATAAAGAATATAATCTTTTATATTCTGAGAACTCGATCAAGAATTTTTTGCACACTAGAAAAAGAAGGCAAAGAAGACTTGATCGAACCCAAGAATCGCATGCTTTGCGTACTAGCGAAACTCGACCTCAAGAACCATGTGCCTTGCCTACTAGAGAAAGTCCCCAAGAACTGCCAAAATATTTGGAGCCACCTTATGGACCTTATGGACCTCAACACCTTCAACACCTTCATAAAATTTCTCCATCCTTTGATTGAAATTCGTTTATTATTTCAATCATTTATGAATTTTTTAATAATGATATGAATGATATGATTAATTTAGTTCTTTTTTTCTTATAAAAAAAAACATCTTTACTTAAAAAAAAAGTATATTCTTTTAGTCAAAAAATCTATTATAACAATAAAATGTATTGATTGTCATTAAAAATAGTTTAAAAAAAAAAAATGGATCTTATTATATAAGTTTAATACAAACAAAAAATTTATAACTTATGTATAATAATAGTAATTTATATTAAAACAAAATATCTTTAAAAAATATAAATTGATAACTATATACGTATACTAAAACATATCAATTAAATACTGCATTTTCTATTTATTTAATATTTTCTGAATTTTTTTTAGATGTTCTATATATTAGAACATTCTGTAAAAGATTATAAAAGTGAAAAAATAATATCCGACTAATATATACATATTCTAAGTTTAAGTTAACCTTCAAATATTTAAATACATACATATAGGTAGTAATGTGCATTTTCTATATCTCAAATATTTTGAAACTGTCCTAGCAAATTTAAATTTTTACTCAGATAATTTTCAGTGACAGTAAAGCAAACTTCCATCTTCCTATCTCTGTATTCTAAAATTTCATTAGTTTCTCTTTAACGTTAATGATATTTTTTTATTTGTCTACACAGTCTTAAACTTATCACATAAATCTTAATATCCCAGATTATATCCTAACAATTTTTCAAGACAACAGCTTGATAAAAAACTCTAAAAAAATTTTTTTTGAAATAATGTTAAATCTGAATTTAATTTGCTAAAAAAAATCATATTTTGCATATAAAGTATAGATGCCTCTCTTACTATATTTTTAATATAATTTTGGCTAATTTCGGGTTTCGGGTTTCGTCGTACCCCTCATTATACTTTAATATAATTTTGGCTGTTTATTAATTGCTTTTTTAGGGTTTCGTCCCTCATCTATTATAATATAAAGTAAAATTTAAAATTTTGTAGTTTTATATCTTTCTAATATAATGCTTATTAATAAATAAATAAATTTTTTTTGATATTTTTTCTATTTAAAAAGTATATCTAATAAAGTTTAAATAAATAAATAGCATTCTTTATTTAAAAGGATTATTTAACTGATTTATTTTAATTTTAATATTCTAATATCAATCTTATTATAGAAATATAATAATATATTTTTATATTTTTTACTCAATATTTATAATAAGAATATAAATAAAAAAAAAATAAATATAGATTAAAATATCAAACTAATAATCAATCAATTATATAAATTCTACATAAAAACTTATAATTTTTAGTATAAATACAATAAAATTTCATTAAAATATTAAATATATACAAAATTTTCAACTTTAAATTTATGATTTTTTTAAAAATAAATAATATTTAAATATATAAATAAATGTTTTAGATATAAATTTATGTATTTTATAAAGTTTTTTTAATAGTATAAAAATAAATAAAAATTATAAATTATAGTTTTTATAAAGAAAATACTTTTATTAAAAAAATTTAAAAAATTTGATCTTAAATTTATGCAAAAAAGTTACTAATTAATATATATATATTTTTTTAAAAACATTATAAATTTTTTATTATAATAATATTATTGATTTGTTAACTAATTTTTAATATATTTAAAATTAACTTTAAAATGTAATCCTTTTAAATTTGAAAGGAAAATCATTGAAATAATAATTATTTAATTAATTATTTAAAATAATACAGTTAGACTTGCTTCACAACTTTTAATTATAATAATTTTTTCAAAATATATTTTATAAAAAGATTTTATTATTATAATAATATTGAAATATTTTTTTTATTAATTTAATTATAATTGGTTTAATATATATATGGTTATAAAAATATTTTATATGATGTGATTATAAACAGTATGATTATATATAGATTTGACTAATAATAATAATTTATAAAAAATAAAATCATAAAAAAACTTTATTAAGATTACTTATTTTAATTTATTTTATATTTAATAATATATACATTATTTTAGAAGTTTTTTTATAATTTTTTTTTTTATAATTTTTTAATAATTTTATTTTCATTTGATAAGCTATTAATATATTAGGTTTAATTAATAATCTTAAATTTTATTTATATATTATAAAATATTTTAACATAAAAAGATTATTTAAAAAAAAATGAAAAAATAATTTAATAAATACAGTCAAACCTTGATATAGCGAACCCTTAATATAGCAAATTTTTAAATCAAATATATTAAAATTACCTTATTATAGTAAACTAGCCAATTAAATTCTTTAAAAAATTCATTATAAACTTATAACGAAGTTCATATCCAGATCCTAGAATTTGTTATATCAAGAGTTTACTGTACTATAATTAAAATAAGTTTTTCTATAAAAAATATATCTAAATAAAAAAAAATTTATTTATATTAAAATTTTTATATTTAATAATCTTTAAGTTATAAATATATATTTTTATTCTATTTAGCTTATTTTTAATTAACTTATTATAAAAGATATTATTTATTTTTCTTATAAATAATTTTAATTCTAATATATTTTAAAATATTGCAGATAGGGTTCTACAATTCGATTTGATATTTGAATATTTGATTCGATCAAATTCAAATTTAAGAATGATTTATTTGATCAAATTCAAATTAATATTTGATTCAATTCGATCAAATTCAAATCAAGTATTCAAATATTTAATTTGATTTGAATCAATAGTAAAGCTATTTCCAAAGCTTCATGAGTGGCTCTTACTAAGAAAACCATAGCAATCAGCACTTTCACAACTTCAGAAATGCCTTTTTTATTAAGAAACCCATAGTAAAAAGCACCTCTGCAGCTTTAGAAATACCACTTTTACTAAGAAAACTATAGTGAAAAGCACCTTCACAGCTTCAGAAATGCTTTTTATACTAATAAAAACATAGTAAAAAATGCCATCGCGGTTTTGAAGATGTTATTTTACTAAAAAAAATAGTAAAAAACGCCTCTGCAGCTTTAAAAACGTTATTTTACTAAGAAAACATAGTAAAAAGTGCCTTCGCAGCTTCAGAAATGCTATTTTACTAAGAAATATAGTAAAAACTACCTCCGCAGCTTTATAAATATTTTTTACTAAGAAACCTAGTAAAAAATGCATATGTGGCTTTGAAGACATTTTTTACTAATAAAATTGTTACGAAGCTGAGATGGCAGTTATTACTACGATTTCTTAGTAAAACCAAAGCTGTGATGATATTACTAAATTTTCTTAGTAAAATCAAAGTCGCGATGAATATAGCAGACATGCTTCTATCACATGTCGATCATTTTGCCGATCATATATAACTGAATTATCACATTATATAAAATTAGCTGATCTAGACTTTAAAGCTTCAGACAATAATGAATATATTCAGGAGAATTCTACAAATTAATAAATTTGACATTATAGATTATGCAGAATATGATTTTAAAACAGTTAATCTAAGATTAAATGTTGTACATGAGTTAGCTTTGGGCTGAAATAATTAATTATATAATTTATATAATAAATTTATTATTTTAGACTTCAAAGGTTG